AGTCATGCAGTGCTTAGGGGAGTGACAATGAAAAATGACAAGTAAAGTTCAATTTATTTTAGCCCACTATTTACTCTACCGTTATAGCTCTGCCTCTTCTGCCAGAAATCTAGAATTAGATGCAATGTAAAATACGGCGCATGATGTAACACACTATCTATTGTTTACCTAATTTGATTTGTACTAAAGAACTTTATTTTATTTAGCGATTATAGAACATGTTATCCTGACAATAAATGAGTTTTTCCATGAATGGTGACTACTTCTGCTCAGTCTACTTTCTCTCTGTTATCATGAGTGTTCTTCAAATGTTTCTAGTATATTTATATCACTATGTGCATGACACAAGTACTGGTAGCCATCGTAAATTCAAGGTCAATGCGTAAAGAATGAAATAAAGAATCTAAAAGTACTATTACTACTTAAAAGTAAAGATTACTATTTTATTTCACAATGCCATATCTGGATAGAAGCTGGTTTACTCGCCTTACCTGATAAGTTAAATCAGGTAAATCAGCGTTTCAAAAAAAAAAAAATAAGAAAATTTAAAAGCCAGCAATGTCAACTGCAGATTTTAACGCCAAAATTGCTGGCTAATGTAAATGTTAATTTCAGCGAGCGAGTTATTGTTTATATAAGAGTTAATTCTTTCTGACTGATGTATGAAATATAAAAAAGAATTATTTCTGATTTAGAAGAATTTTATCCGCATGGTAGTTACATGTTTTTTGGCCAGCATGATCTAAAGAACATATCTTTCTTATATAATGCAAAAGCAATGTCAAGATATAAAAAAATGCAGTTTTCAGGTGTAATGCGTTTTTTCATATAGGTTATAGGCAATTTGGCTCTTTCGAGAGTTATTTCTTTCGCCGTAGCAGTTGATAGTGAAGTTAAATCAATGCGCTCCCTTCTTCAACCTTAAAAACTCCCCTGCCCATCTGAAAAATCTGCCTCCGATTGGGCGGGTATGAGAATGGCCAGAGTCCTGTACCTGTTGACTGATGACGATAATAATACCAGTGTCCTGCGAGACAGGAACTCGCCAAGTCGCCACGTGGCTAAAGTGAAAAAGTCATCTAACCTATTTTACGTAATGAGTACGCAGTTTCTATCCCAGACATAGAAATCAGTCGTGTAACTTTGATTGACAGGAGAATACTCTTAGATCATCTATGTATCATTCACCGCATTCGCTTCAATTTCAGCGTAAACCATTCTCGGTGCCGCTGCTGCAAGCGCCTCACGTGTGTACAGACCTAGTCGCCGGAAAGAAATCTAAACTACGTGCCAGCGCCTCGGCCTCTGGACCAATCCTATTACATTGAAAGCTGCTCACTACTATTGGTAATGCATGCGGTATGTACTGGACTCTAGGTTTGATTAGGAAGAGTGCCAGAGAATTCAATAAACGTGATTGTGCAAGTAAAACATTAAGGCAGTGAAAAACGCAGTCAAAAATTAATAATCAATGAGCGCTAACAATTATTATAAAGTCCTAGTTCTACAGTAGGTCATCGCAGGTTTTGCTGTATCTGGTTGTTTTCCAATTTCATTGCTAATACACTTGTCTTCTTATTTTCCACGAATTACGTTCAATACTCAGCAAAAGCCCAACTCAGAGCAGAGACAAACGCATGAGCACGACTAGTGAATGCACAAGATAGGATAATTTCAGGTGAATTGCTAAACCATTACAAAAATTTAGCAAGCGATGATTACATGATATCGTGATGCTGAGTAAAATACTTGAGTAAATATTACGGTCTTAACTTCTACTTTTAATTGTCTTATTTTTTCTAGGCGAAGCAGCACAGAACTCTTGGCAAGCTTGTCAAGAAACTACAAGACAGCGATTCAATTAACCTGTACTGCCGCCTGTTTTTTTTATTCCTTCGCGCTTCACCTGTCGATGCATACAGGCAGCCATCTGTTTAGGTGCGAAAGACAATATTAATGGTAGACAAAAACGTTTTGTAATACACGCTCATTGCTTACAAAGCATTTTGTGCCTTATGCACCTTTTTGATTTCAGTAAGAGACGATGGATTCTATGTTGGCCACTGTCTTTGGATTGTTTACAGCTGGAGACGTGAACTTATAGATTAACCACTAAACGAAGACATTCATTCTAACTAAACTCCCACGCATGTTTAGGACCTTTTGCATGAGCAGCCCTCTTGATTGAGACAATCTTCAGATTACTCACGCGTTATGAACAAGCCAAGCCAGTGAAGATGGAAAATGCACAACCCTCAAGAAGTACAGAATCATCGCAAAAAGCAAGTATATCACTATATATTAGTTGTTAGTTTGTTCAAGAAGGGCTTTTCAAAACTGAATATTTTAGATTTCTCAAATCTATTTTCGAAAAATAGGGCTACAATCCTAACAGCAGTTTACTCGCAGATATGTAAAATCTGACTTTGTGATATAGCTCGAACCTCTGTTACTTACAACCCTGTTATTTAAAGTTTACACCTGTACAACCCACACATCTCAAAAGGGTTTTTTTTTTCCCAATTTGTGGAATGCCATTATTCCATTTGCCAGTATGCTTTATAACATACACCTTTATACGTAAACTGCAATTACGAACGTTCAAATTTCACTGGAAAAATGCATACTAGCCTTTGTTACTACGTACGGACACTATTCTTGGGCTTGTGGCGCAGTAAAGTGACAAAGCCAGGATGGAAATTACTGCCTTTTTCAAGTTGTAAAGTAAAGTCTGGCACTACGAAACATTTAAACTCATCTATGACATCGGCCCCGAATATAACAGCGCCTCTTTCATTTCTTCTTGATGCACTAATAAAACGTGTTACAAAAGGACGGGTGTCTTCAATACATTGTTTTATTTACTCTAAATTACAATTTTTACAGGTGTTATCATTAAACTTCATGTTTTATTCTTGCGTAGCTTCATTTTATGGGAATTGGTGTACAAACGAACGTATTCGTTATAACTACCTGATTCTTAAGGTCCTTGGAGGTACCGTGGCAACGAAGTTAGACTGTAGTATCTTATGCACTAAAACCTGAAAAATGTAGTTCAGCAAAGAAGAGCGTTTGACCAATAACATTTTTACATTGGCATGTCTTGTTTAGCGAACAATTGGCCATTCGGACACGGTCACGGCGAAGTGAGAACTACAGCAAGTTTGGTGTATCACAAGCCGCATTACCATGAAGACTGACGTTAAGCTGTGTGAAGCAGGGTACTGCCAGAAGTTCTTCTTCTACTCAAACAACTTTCTCCATAAGCTGTCCTCCGAAACTGAGGTATGCACACACTCATAACGTGAAGTGTCATTTATAGGTGTGAAAAACTAAATGGCCATCTCTTGTTGCTATGCTTTCTGCTCTACAAGAATTTTAGGGTTACGATCTATTTGCTTCACTTCAGAATGCTTCTCTTCTGAGCGATTCAATGGTAAAAAACACATCTCAGTTTCTTTCCTATCGATGAACTACCGCCATCAGCGCTGTTGCCTTGACCAACTGTGTAAACCTTCATACGACCCATGGAATCCTGCTGCAGCAGTGGAGGACAGAGCGAGTGCAAGGTATAGCGGAGCGGCGCAGGTATTGCCGGAGATGCTGACACCATCAGTTAGCATGTGTTCTGTAAATAATGTTATACCTCACAGTATCCTTGTGAAAAGTGAATCTTAGCCATTGAATATTTCCGGAGAATGCTTTATTAATCATAGTATACACATTTAAAATTATAATCGCAAATGTTCGTGTTTGTCTCGCCCTCTTGTAATGCTGATTATTAGAGTGCGTGCGCGCGTGTGCACGTGTGCGTGCATGCGTGCGTGTGCGTGCGTGTGCACGTACACGTTCGTACGTTCGTGTGCATGTACACGTGCGTGCGCGCGTGTGCACGTGTGCGTGCATGCGTGCGTGTGCGTGCGTGTGCACGTACACGTTCGTACGTTCGTGTGCATGTACACGTGCGTGCGCGCGTGTGCTCGTACACGTGCGTGCATGCGTGCGTGTGTGCGTGCGTGTGCACGTACACGTACACGTGCGTGTGTGTGTGTGCGTGCGTGTGCAGGTACACGTGTGTGCATGAGTGCGTGTGTGTACGTGCGTGTGTGTACAGGTACACATGCGTGCGTGCATGCATGTGCACGTAAACGTTCGTGCGTGCGTGTGTGTGTGTACAGGTACACGTGCGTGCGTGCGTGCGTGTGCACGTACACCTGCGTGCATGCATGCGTGCGTGTGTCCACGTGTGTGCATGCGCGCGTGCGTGCGTTTGGATGTACACGTGCGTGCGTGCGTGTGCACGTAGATAACTCAACCACTATCCCGATTTTGACGATTTTTTTTTACTATCCCGGCGGTATACCAAGCATTGAAATCTGGTATCCAACACCAGAATCTACTATCCCGTGGATATCGGGATACCGCTAATTTTGACCACTGCATTTGATAAATAGTTGTGGTGACGTGATACTTTCACAAGATTTATCAGGGAGGCCGTATCAAAATTGGGGTTGGTGTGTTACACCATTCCCACAGCCTACCTAACAATCTCTGTCAACCACATTCCATCTTTAGGGTTCTCCGCTGGCCTAACCTCTAACACATGTCTGTTCCAACCTGTCTTCAAAGTTGAAATGAAGGTAATTTGCATCATCCCATAAATCCTCTAACTTGCATTAATTGCCAGTCGACATGCCTTAATTTCCAGCTTTGTTTAACTTTGGGACTGAGCCATTGAGGCATAGCCGTGTGTGCACAGGCCCTAGCTTATAGGCTCAAGTTTCAAGAAGAGTAAAAGAGCGATGCGGCCTGTGATAAAAGAGCGAACCGCTTTGCTCTTTTACCACTAGCCACTTCGCTCTTTTACTCTTCTTGAACTTGAGCCTCCAAGGGCCTGTGGTGTGTGCATGCAAGTCTAGGTTAGCCCATTTTATGATTGTCCCATTTCCAACTTGCGTAATCAGTTCATAAGCTTCACCTAATCAATCTCTTGATTTTAGCGGAGTTGCCTCTTCCAACGGAGAAGATAGAGAATGGTGTAAAAACCATTACGGAATGGAAGTACAATGATGACAACAAGAAAGTAAAGGTAACGATGGGTTAAATTTATTTTTTCTTATTAGATTATTTATTTGGAACTTGATAATTAGATTTGAATTGTATACTTCAATAATATCTGTATATATACATAAATATAAACGATATTTGCAGTATGAATCTAGGTATTGTCATTAAGTTTTAATCTTAATCCTAATTCTTTGTATTTCATTGTTGTTTGCAGGTTATCAGGCAGTATAAAATCGAGCAAAGGAAGGTTTCAAAGGTTATTGCAAAACGAAAGGTATGTCATCTTTAGTTACATTATTAGTTAATTCCCCCAGGCACCATACACAATTATCAACACTATTATAAATGCGTAAACAACATGGTGCAGAAGTGGGTAGGGAAATAGAAAAGTGAAAAGTGAATAGAGCGTGACGTCATGGTGGCATGACAGCAAACCCACTGGTTCTAAACAATCATTGCGAGTATGTGGGCTATGTATTATTGACACACACAGAATTTCCCCACACTACAGTACACGAGTGTGTGCGCTGCAGACAGCGGTAAACATCGGTAGCAAGTCGATCTTACAACGTTGATTTCATCATCAAAATGCCTAGAAAAAACGTCTGGATACCTTATCAACTTATAATACATTACATTACATTACATTACATTACATTACATTACATTACATACATTACATTACATTACATTACATTACATACATTACATTATATTACATTACATCCATAATCACATTACAAGAGGCGAGACAAACACGAAACATTTGCGATTATAATTTTAAATGTGTATACTATGATTAATAAAGCATTCTCCGGAAATATTCAATGCTAAGATTCACTTTTCACAAGGATACTGTGAGTAACATTATTTACAGAACCACATGCTAACCTGATGGTGTCAGCATCTCGGCAATAACCTGCCGCCGCTCCGCTATACCCTGCACCGCTCTGTCCCTCCACTGCTGCAGCAGACTTCCATGGGTCGTTGCAAGGTTTACACAGTTGTCAAGGCAACAGCGGTGATGCGGTAGTTCATCGATAGGAAGAAACTGAGATGGTTTTTTACCATTGAATCGCTCAGAACGAGAAGCATTCTGAAAGGTGAAGCCAAATAGATCGTAACCCTAAAATTCTTGAGACAGAAGCATAGCAACAAGAGATGGCATTAGTTTTTCACACTATAAATGACACTACGTTATGAGTGTTGTTGCATACCTCAGTTCGGAGACGCTTATGGAGAAAGTTGTTTGAGTAGAGAAGAACTTTCTGCACACCCTGCTCACACAGCTTAACGTCAGTCTTCAGGTAACTGCGGCTTTGATACACAAACTGCTCGTAGTTCTCACTTCGCCGTTGACCGTTTCCGATGCCAATGTTCCTAAACAACAGCCAATGTAAAATGTTAATGGTCAACCCTTCTTTGCTGAATACATTTTTCAGGTTTTAAGTGCAAAGCTACTACAGTCTAACTTCGTTACAACGTACCTCCAAGGACCTTAAGAATCAGTACGTTATAACGATAGTTCGTTGTAACCAATTCCCATAAAATGAACGCTAACGCAAGAATTAAAACATGAAAGTTTAATGATAACACCTGTAACAAATTTGTCAATTTAGAGTAAAATAAAACAATGTATTGAAGACACCCGTCTTTTGTACACGTTATTTGCACTCAAAGAAATGAAAGAGCCCGCGTTAATTTCGCCGATGTCATAGATGAGTTTAAATGTTTCTGATGCCACTGACTTTACTTACAACTTGAAAAAGGCAGTAATTTCCATCTGCTTTGTCACTTTACTGGCCACAAGCCCAAGAATAGTGTCCCGTACGTAGTAACAAAGGCTAGTATGCATTTTTCCAGTGAAAATTTGAACGTTGTATTGCAGTTTACGTTATAAAGGTGTATGTTATAAACAATACTGGCAAATGGAATAATGCATTACACAAATTCGGGACTTGGAGATGTGTGCGTTGTAGCAGTGTAAACTTTATAAACAGGGTATGTAGTAACGAAGTTCGACTATATCACAAAGTCAGATTTTACATATCCCATGACGAGTAAACTGCTGTTAGGATTGTAGCCCTATTATTTTCGAAAATAGATTTGAGAAATCTAAATATCAAGTTTTGAAGAAGCCTTCTTGAACCAAACTAACAACTATATCAATGGCTATACTTGCTTTTTGCGATGATTCTGTACTTCTTGAGGGTTGTAGCATTTCTCCATCTTCAACTGCTTGGCTTGTTTCATAACGCGTAGTAATCTTGAAGATTGTCTCATCAAGAGCTGCTCATCAAAAGGTCCTAAACATGCAGTGTGAGTTTAGTTAGAATTGGAACTGTCTTCGTTTAGTGGTTAATCTAATTACAGTTCACTCTCCCAGCTTGTAAACCAATGCCAAAACAGTGGGCCACATAGAATCCATCCTCTACTGAAATCAAAAAGGTGCATAGCATCAAAATGCTTGTAAGCAATGAGGTGTATTAACAAAACGTTTTTGTCTACCATTAATATTGTCTTTTCCACCTAACAGATGGCGCTGTATGCATCGACAGGTGAAACGCGAACAGTACAGGTTAATTGAATCGCTGTCTTGTAGTTTCTCTGACAAAGCCTTGCCAAAGTTCTGTGCCTCTTCCCTAGAAAAAATAAGACAATAAGTAGAAAGTTAAGACCGTAATATTTACTCAAGTATTTCTACCTCACATCACGCATATCATGTAATCATCGCTTGCAAACTTTTTGTTAATGGGGTTTACAATTCACCTGAAATTACTCCTATCTTGTGCATTCACTAGTCGTGCTCTGCGTTTTGTCTCTGCCTGACCTTGGGCTTTTGCCTGAGTATTGAACGTAATTCCTGGAAAATAAGAAGACAAGTGTTTAGCAATGAAATTGGAAAACAACCAGATACAGCAAAAACCTCCGATGACCTACAGTAGAGCTAGGACTTATAATAATTGTTAGCGCTCAATTATATTATTTTTTTGACTGCGTTTCACTGCTTAATGTTTTACTGCACAATCACGTTTATTGAATTCTCTGCACTCTTCCTAATCAAACCTAGTCCAGTAACATACCGCATGCATTACATAGTGTGAGCACTTTCAATGTAATAGGATTGGTCCAGAGGCGAGGCGCTGGCACGTAGTTAAGATTCTTTCGGCGACTAGGTTTACACACGTGAGGCGACTTGCACACGGCACACGAGAATGGTTTACCTGAAATTGAGCAATGTCGGTAATGATACATAGATGATCTAAGAGTATTTCCCTGTCAATCAGAAGTTACACGACTGATTTCTATGTCTGGATAGAACACTGCGTACTCATTAACGTAAAATAGGTAGATGACTTTTTCACTTTACCACGGGCAGACTTGCGGTTCCTTCTCGCAGACACTGGTATATTATGTCCATCAGATGCAACAGGTACAGGACTCTGGCCACTTCTCATACGCCTGCCCACATCGTAAGCAGATTTTTCAGATGCAGGGGAGTTATCAGGTGAGAAGGAGCGCTTGATTAACTTCACCCTATCACTACGGCGAAGTCCTCGAAAAGAGCAATTGCCTATAACCTATATGAAAACAGCATTAGCCAGTGAAACTGCATTTTTTTATATCTTGACAATGTTTTTGCATTATAATAAGAAAGATATGTTCCTTTTAGACATGTGCCAAAAAACCATGTAACTACATGCCGGATAAAATTCTTCTAAACTCAGAAATAATTTTTTTAATATTTCATACATCAGTGAGAAGAATTAACATCTTATATAAAACAAAACTCCGCTGCAAATTAACATTTACATTAGCAGCAATTTTGCTTAAAATCTGCAGGTTGACATTGCTGCTTTATAATTTTTGTTTTGTTTTTTTGAAACCCTGATTTACCTGATTTAACTTATCAGGTAAGCGAGTAAACCAGCTTCTATGCCAATATGCATTGTGAAATATAGTAACTTACTTTTAAGTAAGTAATAGTACTTTTTCAAGATTCTTATTTTCATTCTTTAACGCCATTGACCTTGAATTTACGATGGGCTACACAGTACTGTGTCAATGCACATAGTGATATAAATATACCTTAGAAACATTTGAAGAACACTCCATGATACCAGAGAAGAAGTAGAACTGAGCAGAAGTAGTCACCATTCATGAAAAACTCATTTTTGTCAGGATAACCATGTTCTATATCGTAAATAAAATAAAGTTCTATTAGTACAAACAAATTAGTAACAATAGGTAGTGTGTTACATCATGCCAGTTTTACATTGCATCTATTCTGCAATTTCTGCAGAAGAGGCAGAGCTATAACGGTAGAGTAAAATAGTGGGCTAAAATAAATTAATTTACTTGTCATTTTCATTGTCACTCCCCCCTAGCACTGGCATGACTACGGCACGCGGGCCTGCCTGCGGCAGCCAAGGTTAATTTCGCCCACCCCTGTTCATTAATTTCATTCTGCATTTGGAGATCACAGGGTTGGAGACCCTGTACTCTAAATGATCGTGACATATACTGTATACGTGTAGGCTATACAGTTATACATACATTTTACTATATGTCCAAATTTGTCCAAAATATGTCCAAATTTTTTACTTTATGGTTGTCAAATTTGGCATGTGCGTACATGTATGTATGCATGTATAAATGTATGTACGTGTGTTTATGTGTGTGTGTGTTTGTTGTTTGTTCGTTTGTGTGTGTGTGTGTGTGTGTGTATGTTCGTGCGTGCGCGATCGCGCGCGTGTGCGTAAATTATTGTGGGCTTGTGCTCGTGCTAGTATGTGATGGCTATCGCCGATCATCCCCCCACTCCTCGGTACGGATTTACGCCCCTGTGTCACAGTAATAATAATACTAGAATCCCGTCGTTTACCTACTCACTTCTTACTATTCCTGGACTTTGGGGGCTTATTCCAATGAAATCATTTGTCGATTACTACCGATAAATAGTACGAAGTGTCTAAACAACCGGATCCGGTTTTGGTATCATGAAAACTAAACAACCGGCTCTCTTCTCTGATTGGCTAATTTTGTCACTATTTCATTTATTATTATTTTTGGCTAATTTTATTTTATTTTAGAATTAGGGATAGGGTTAGGGTTAGGGTTAGGGTTAGGGTTAGGGTTAGGGTCTATAGCTCTATCTTTCAAGTTGTTTGCAGTCGCTCAAC